CGGTGGCCCGACACTAAGGAATTTCATAAAACACTTCCTTTCTTCCTTTCTTCCTTCCTTTCTTTCTTTCTTTCTTTCTTTTTTCTTCTTTCTTTCTTTCTTTCTTTCCCCCCCTGCTCAGTCTCAAAATGCTCGAGCCATGCGAATTTCAAGTACTGTAGAATAAAGCCACAGACGGTGGCCCGACACTAAGGAATTTCATAAAACACCTCATGATTAACGCCCTAATTTTTACGAGTTCTGAACGTAACTTCGTGGGATTTCCCTTTAATCTTCGATGACAGACTGTTCAATAATCCTGCAGAGGCGAGGTTAAGTTATAAACGCACTTCTTAAGGTCTTTTAGAAAATACAGATTTGGTTTGCTTCGTACTTGGACTTGTTTGAAATGTCATTAAGTCATATATTTTAATCTTATCTTGAACACCTCGTTAACGGTCCTTTCTCTCTTCCAGATTTATGACGCCGCAGCATCATGCAAATGCGGTCACGTCAATGAAGCCATGCGCACAATCGCAGGCAAAAGATTCTCTGGTAATGATGAAATGTGTGTTTAACTTGTTATATGTAAAAGGTTACGTGTAGTTCGTTATATAGTGCGGTTTGATGCAGCTAAGCGTGTACACTTATACTTTTTCCATTAGGTTACCGAGAAGAGCTTTACACACGAAGGGTTATCAAGGAAAGTAGAGATGAATACCGCAGAATGAAGCGGGAATCCCTCGGGACCAGGAAAAGAAAAAGGGTACGTCTGTCATCACTTCGCGTCAATGTTCATTGTTATGATGATTTAAATGTAATTCTTTGATTTGCCAAGCAGAAATCTTCAACACCTGAAAAACTCCGTTTGAGAAGACAAAGAAAAAAACAAGACGACATGTGTACGATCACGTCTGACAGTCACGATCAGCTGAATGATGGATTAGATTGTGATAATCTAACACATATGACGTCATATACTAATGGTAACCATGACAACCATACCCAAATACACCTGCAAGATATTACAGCTGATGAAAGTAACAAGACACACGACTTGTTGGAAATACGAGATGACCTCGAAAATGACGTTCATATTGATTCAAGCATTGGACATGTGAATGAATGTCCCTCCTACAAACAATACCTCCCTACTACAAAAACAATCTCACACAAACGCGGTCCAAAGAAGACAACTTTCAACCAATTCAACAGAAAAACAAGAGATGGTTGTCGAGAAAATAAGACAAGAATAATAAGACCGATGAAGCAGTTCGCTATTGCTGGACCGTTAGCAGAAATCAACAAGAGACTCATGAATCAGAGTGGATTCTGGATGTGTTTGGGTGATAGTCTTGGGTTAAGTAAACCCGCTGCTGCAGATGTCGTGCTATAAAAATCCTTTACTGCGCAAAAGAAGATGCAAAAGCACTTGCGGTCAATTTTTTTTTTTCGTAGAGCGACAAATTAATTGTATCTTTAATTGTATTTTTGTGTGTTTGATCCTAAAATAAACTATAAGGGCCATAAATAGGTTGCTTCTCACGACTATAACTAAAGATATCATACTTAGAAACTTAAGAAATAGAAAGTGAGACTCCTCTCTCTTCATACATGTCATTCCTACTTTACATTACATCCCTTTTTTGTCGAATATAGTGAATATACAAATAGTATCGCAGATTAAAGCAAGGCGATTATTATCATCATTATATCTTAACCTGATAATTGGGGTTACCAAATTATTTTTTCTTGAGTGGTGAAGATCAAATGCTTGTGAAATCGATTGTAAATTCACACTTGAGTGCCTTTTTCTTTTTCTTTCTTTTTACTTCAAATCTTCACTGAAACAAGTTCAAACTTAATTTTTAAATTAATTTTTCCAAATTTAATTCCAAGGGCTTTCGCCCGGAATATGTGATTATGACATTTATGACCATGATTTCTGACATCCATAGCAGAGACATGATACAGCTGTACGTTCCTCATAGCTATTTGATGCGCATTCTCACACTTTCTCTTGTTTAGTTCATGCTCCCATCATGCATTGCGGACGCTTCACATGCAACTAAAGAAGTGTGTGTAGGATACTTGCTATGTTAAAGCGCTTTAAGTAGAGTGACCACCGTGAAACGAGCATTTGATATTTTTCTCTTATTCTCTCTATTTCATTGCACACAACGAACGCATAATTTATTACTATTATAATACAAAATAGCACAATTTCATGCAAATTCCATTGTTTTCTATTGTTTAATTAGCACTATTTTGTACTATTTAGTAATTAGTGTTTCATGGATTAATTGTTTGCACTCTAACCAAGCTTGCTTATGTAATTGCCCTATAACACTATGACGTCACATCAAAACAATCTATTGTTTTAACGCTAAGGATCATGGTCGCCAAAGGGGGCAAAATAGCAGCAAAACGAATTAAATCACAATAAAAAATGGTTAATTAGACGGGGAAAGGTGATAACAGATAAATGTTGTACTAAATATCCCGAACAAAAGAAAATTTCGCCTAAATTCCTATCATTCTTGCCCATGTAAACAAGCTGTGACATCATGTCATAGGTAAATTCTAGCGCCTTTTTTATATCATATTTCTAGAGCAGGTTTCTTTAAGATAATTCCCCGATAAGCTATGTCACTGATTCGTATGCTATGCTTGCCTGGCATAAAATAGCTTTCCAGACGGCCATAAAGTAAGTATGAATACCGCAGTCCATTCTGTTCGCCGTCTAAAAATAAGACATTACGAGAGTGCCTAGGCATTGCAGTGCATTGTGGGGGACATATTTCCAAGATGGTGTCTATTTGGTTCCCTAGAACATTCCCAAAATGCACTGCAATGCTTACTCGACCCAGTTTTTTTCCTCAATCTCGGAATTGCTTAGTCTTCGATTACGTCATCGCAGCCATGTTGGTGCTATTTAATGGGACTTCCTTTGGAATTCTCGATCGCCGAATCGTCGAAGTAGTCCATTGATCACTCCAGATTTCTCTTTGATATCCTTTGTTAATATCATCAACATGGCCACAATGTCTTTGTCATTTGACGCTCTTGTAAATGCAGCAACCATCAATAACAACAAGTAATTAGAATCTTTAATATTTTTGTTCAAATATTACATTGATGGGAAGATACAATTACATTTATAAATAGAAATCTCCACACGAACCGTTGGTGGGACTGGGACTGAGATTGATACCAACTGACCGTATCATTACAGTCTATTTACATAGTATAGAAACAATGCCAATTGAAGGGATTTTGAAATCGCTTTCTAGCACAGATTTTATCTTAAATACTTAACATTGAACTTACCAAGTTGCTCAATACATTTACATATTGACAAAATGAATCAAGGTTTCTCTTTGTTCTTAATTAAAATGAAAAAAACTGATCTTGAGCCGTCATTCTTCCTGGTCAGCACCTGAGGTAAAGTCGTGAAGCTAAGCTAATCTGACTGAAAACAGCGATTTAGGGATCGATCGTAGAGTTTGCCATCTCGTAAAGTAAAGTCGGAATTACACGGAACACGGAACAATTTTCTCTGTAACTTGTCTCGCAACGGCGTTGCGACACAAATTGCATGGAGCATTACAGCGTGTAACCTTAGCGCAATTCAAAAGTAGAATTCGTTTCTACTTTTGGCAACGATTGCGTCTCCGTTGCACCGTGTAAACATTTTTGCAGCTTGTGTCGCAGCGCTGTCGCACGACAAGTTGCAGAGGAAATTGCTCCTTGTAATTGGTTTTGGTGGTCATCAATTAATGTTTCCATAGCATTGTCCGAAGACACACAGTTACCGCGTTACGTGCCTATTATATGTCATGGAAACACCTTAATTGACATCCACCAATGCAAAGCCTACATCGTCGAGAGTGCGACTCCGCATGTGCTAATATGCTGACCAAGAGGATAACAGGCTGCACAGCAGCGATAATGGCGAGCCCAAAGGTCAGAAGCGTTATAAGCATATATTATTATGCGCGTAGGTTGTGAGCTAACTTGATACGACATACGGAACGAGTATATTATTCGAACCAATGGTTTATCACTAAATGTTGATCATCTACAAGCAATTTTCAAGGAGCCTGCCCGTACCGCTCGGAACGAGTTACATGATTGGATTAAAAAACAATAGATTGGTCATCCAAACAATAGCACTAAGCCTAACCTTACAAAAGCGGTACTATACTTAGGGAGCAATGAAAATTCAATTTTCGAGCGGTACTGGGTTACTCTTTTCAAGTGATAGAAACAAGTACTCCGCTTATATTCTGATGTGAACTATAAGATTTCTTTAAGAACGACATCTGCAGCAGCGGGTTTACTTAACCCAAGACCATCACCCAAACACATCCAGAATCCACTCTGATTCATGAGTCTCTTGTTGATTTCTGCTAACGGTCCAGCAATAGCGAACTGCTTCATCGGTCTTATTATTCTTGTCTTATTTTCTCGACAACCATCTCTTGTTTTTCTGTTGAATTGGTTGAAAGTTGTCTTCTTTGGACCGCGTTTGTGTGAGATTGTTTTTGTAGTAGGGAGGTATTGTTTGTAGGAGGGACATTCATTCACATGTCCAATGCTTGAATCAATATGAACGTCATTTTCGAGGTCATCTCGTATTTCCAACAAGTCGTGTGTCTTGTTACTTTCATCAGCTGTAATATCTTGCAGGTGTATTTGGGTATGGTTGTCATGGTTACCATTAGTATATGACGTCATATGTGTTAGATTATCACAATCTAATCCATCATTCAGCTGATCGTGACTGTCAGACGTGATCGTACACATGTCGTCTTGTTTTTTTCTTTGTCTTCTCAAACGGAGTTTTTCAGGTGTTGAAGATTTCTGCTTGGCAAATCAAAGARTTACATTTAAATCATCATAACAATGAACATTGACGCGAAGTGATGACAGACGTACCCTTTTTCTTTTCCTGGTCCCGAGGGATTCCCGCTTCATTCTGCGGTATTCATCTCTACTTTCCTTGATAACCCTTCGTGTGTAAAGCTCTTCTCGGTAACCTAATGGAAAAAGTAAAAGTGTTCAAGGCTGGTAATAAAAGTCGCTACATTTAGCGTTTAAGACGTGTTTTTCAGCACGTTTCAAATGCTGTACTTTGATAATAGAAATAAGATATCCATTCACTACAGGAAATAAGCTGTTTGTTATTATTACGTGCATGCACAGTGTGATTTCTTAGCAGCAGAGATTTAGCACTAAAATCAAAAAAATACGATATTGAATGACTAATGCACAGGGAAAAACTATTTTAACTTGTATTTTAATAATAATAATAATAATAATAATAATAATAATAACTTTATTTCTATAGCGCTTTTACCTATGATGTTCAAAGCGCTTTACAAACAATATAACAAATATAAATAATTACTGAAATATCAAATAATCAAAAATCTAACTACTAAACTAT